CGATCGATTTTTAAATGTGTCGACCTGTCCACCTAACGGTCAACCGACGTGATCGAAATCAACTGACACAGTTGGACGAAACAAATACAGCCATGTTGTAGAGCAATGTTGACAGCATAGGAAAATAGATTTTTTATTTACGCAGATAAGCCTAACTTCGAGAAACAACTGTTGTTAAAAACATGTCTTGTAGATTTAATGAAGTCAGAATTATATGTTGTCATTTATTGGTCTAGTTTTTCGTATAAGACGAAATGCTTTTTTTTTTAAAGTCGATCATACAATGTAAAAGTAATTTGAATGGTCTCTATGTTCATGTCGAAAGACCTAGATTTTTCTGTTTCCTGAAAAAGACATTTGCATTTGTAAACTAGTCCATTTCTCAGTGTGATTCCGTCACGAAAATATCTTATAATTCGTTTTTTGCCTTAAACAAGGATTTTTTGATTTTGCCAATAAGTTCTCTAACGTTACTTTTTAATGCCCTATCAGATAGACTACTTCGCATTTTTAGTCAAGCATTCGAGTCTAACTGAACGGGCGTGACGGAATCACCATTTGATAGTGAAAACTTTTTTACCAAAATTAGAGAATTTTTTTTTCGTTTTATATTATCAGCCTAGATGGATGTTTTGGACGTAGAAGATATTTAAGGACTTCAACAGCAAAGCTGGCAATTAGTTTAGGGTAGTTGTCATGTACTTTTAAAGAATTTGTTTTCAAGTAATATCGTTTACATGGCAATAACTGGTAGTGGCAACTTTATTATCACCATTTCATACCGTTTTCTAATGTCGAGCTAGATCTATCCATCAGATTCCATAATCTTTATCGTCTCTTTTTTGTTTAATTTTCTATCTTAGTTAATGAACGAGTGTCGTTGAAAAATAATAAGTTGGGATATACCAAAAGTAGGAGTGACACTTTAGGACTGAACATTAAGCTTTAAAAACCTATACCTTTCTATATGGCCTAATAGAAAAAACAATATTCTATTTTTCTATACTACTTGATCATACTTCAAATAACATAATAATAATAAAATTTTGATAAGACCTGTCTTATTCGCATATGTCATCGTTCCATAAATGTTAATGAGAATCTTTTGAATCATTTTTGATAGAAACAAGATAGAAAGTTGCGATTTTCATTGCTGGAAAGAGCAAATGAAGATGCATCGAATCGTCTATTATAAATTTTTCTAATATTGATTACTGAAGTATTTTTGTTCGATTTTCTAAGTGTCAGGAAAATGTTCTTTTTTATGAAAAACGGGAAAAATCACAAAAGTGAGCATTTTTCACAGCTTTCAGTATAAAATTGTATTGCAGACTCAACTAAAATGCATATTATTCATCTCAATCTTCTACAGTTTATAGATCTTCGATTGATGGTCTGAATTTATACTTGATAATTGAAAATTCACTGTAAAAAGCTTACCAAATTTTCTTGTTCTTAGAAACGTCTATTGAAGAACTTGCAAAAAATATGTAAAAAATTCTGGAGTATGCAGTTCGATGTGTTTTTATCTCCTCGTTCCAACAATCAAAACCACAGTTTCCTATCTTATTTCTGTCAAAAGTTATTTAAAAAATACTTTTGAGTATGTTTTAAAAATGAGTATTAATTCTACCAGCACATATGGTAACGAAACAGATCTTATCGAGATTTTATTATTGTAATATTAGTTGAAGTATGATCGAATAGGAATGAAACATAGAGCATTCTTTTCCCTATCAGACTATATAGAGAGAAAGTTTTCTAAAACTAAATATTCAGCATCATAGTGCCACTCGTACTTTTGGTATGCTGTAAGTATTTTTATAGTATTAAGACTATTTGAAAGAGAGTTATTGATTGTTTTATACTAGATGATATTTCTAGACTAACTTTGATTAACTATTTCTATCTTTCAGCAGAAATAAACTATTACTAAACATCAACATTTTTGAAGCGTGATTCCGTGACGACACTATTTTTCGCTTCTGAGGTCAAGCTACTATATATTTTGAATTATTTTTTTTTCTATGTATAACTAGTCATCTAAGCTATAACTTTCGTATACAAAACTTTTTTATCATCTTCTATGGTTGAGCTAAAATTTTTAGTTCTTCACATAACATTGCAATTCGATGTTCATTTTTTTGTGATTCCATCACGGACCTATATTTAAATCATAAAACTATAATAGAAGGATAGAATCCAATGAAACTTTCATAATGTGTAGAGCAGTCCAGCTTATATATCTTTCGAAAGTAATCAGCATTATTCGATTTCAATTTGTTGAGATATTGAGAAAAGAAAGTAAAAAAAATGTGATTCCGTCACGCTTGGAGAGGTCGATGTCTTTTGAAACTATCCTGACTCTAACATTGAATTTCAAGTTTTCGAAGATTTATTTGATAGAGAAAGTTATTCTCTTTTGAATTCAGCAAACTCGAGATTTCTAACTTGTAGTAGTCAAAAGATGATCAGAAAGTCCCTCAATTTCGACTAATGGGCTCTGTATTATGCAAAAACTAGGTCTGAGAATGAGTAATTGGCAGTGCTGAATCGATTACTTATGTTTGTTGTCAATTTCAAAACGATCTACATTTATTGTATCCAAATTTTCGAAGTTTCCATTTTTTCAGCTATACTAAGTCAATTAATATTTTCAGTATATGAATAAAATAATTGTTTATTGTTTTGAAACTAAAAGCAACCTTCACTACAAGGCCCAATGCAGTCAATCATCCGACTCTAGACTTATGTTTTTGTGTAATCTAGAATCTACTGGCTGAAATCGAGGGTTTCTGTACACCTCTGAATAGTACAAGCAGGAAGTCTTGGGTTTCTGTAGTTTCAAGTATATATTTTAAAATTTTAAATTCAATGTTAGATCTAACGAACTTAACTAGAAGCTGTTAGCAAAAACTATTTCGCAATATCTTTTCACATTCGTGAATTAATCATATTATTATGATTCGTCTTGTATTTCGAAATTCATAGAACTTGTTTATCTATTTCATTTTGAAATCTTTATGTTAACAGATGCAACAGATAATCAATCATGTTTAACATATTCTCAACAAGGTTTACGTACATCATTTCAATGTCAGAAATGTATAGGTACTATAGAACAACATCGAACAAGTCCAGATCCCGATATTTATAATGAAATATTTTTTGACAAGTAGCGCAACGTCTTTTATCAATATTAAATGGACGTATACAAACATTTCTTAAAGAAATGGTTAAAATATATAAGATAAAAAATAATAAAATAAAAAAGCAATACATGAAGATTATAAAGAAATGTATAGTATATCATTACGAGTAAATGAAACATCAACAACATTTCCAAAAGATTTATATGATACAATTGAACGTTTAAAAAAGATTTATGAAAAAAATATCAGTGATTAAAGAAAAGTGTTTTATTTTTCTTTTCTATATAATTGATTTTAATTTATTTTCTATATTGTTTTATATCTTCTATTTTGTTTTGTTCTATTGATAAACTTGATGATATGTTCTAGTTTTAGATTTTGATTTAATGAAATAATGTTAGCAAAAAAAAAAAGAAAATGTTAGTTCATCGTCATCCATTATCTGAGAATAAAGAATTAGAACCTAATCTGCGTCGATTATAAACATCATCAAGATATGTATAAAATAGTTTATATATTCGATTAAGATTTCTTACAAAGTAAATTATTAAAGCCTATTGATGAATTTCATTTCAATTATTTGATTTTCTTAAGATTTAAACGATGGATACTAATACGATATGGATTTTTTATTATTACGGTTATCCTGACAGTTTTTATTAATGAAGTTTTGTTCTATGAATAGTCTCGGTTTCATAGACCAGATATTGAATCATTAGGAAAAAAAGTAAGAATAAATTCATGAAAAACAAAACTAAAGAAATACTTAATTCGTATGTAATGACTTTTTGAATTGAATCAATTATAAAAATGATAATTGTGATTAAAGATTATATCAAGATAAATGACTGTTGATTTTGATTTTATTTAACTGCTTGAATATATAAGAATAATTTTTTTTATCGGTTAATAACTTTCCGAAGTATGTAAATTGAAAATTATATATTTTTTATGTTTTTATAGGTCTACTATTGAAAAACTTCTTCTTGTTGCTGATCCACAATTAATTGATGAAAAAGATGAAGATTTGTTTGGATTAATTACAAGAAAGGATGGTGATAGGTATGAACATTTCTATTTTATAATATACTTATCATATTCTGCTAATATCACTTTTTACCATATAGTATATAATCTTAACAATAAGTCATAGCTGATTGATCAAAGCTTGTTTTAATGCTTGTAATCGATCTAAGAAACAGTAGTAATAGAGCTAAAAAAAAAAGCTATACATTTTCTATTAGGCTTTCATTTACGTAGTCAATAAGATAGACAAAAATGGTCAGTAAATGATATAATTAATTATAAAATCAGTCAATTTAATAATTAATCAGTTATCAACTAATGATGCTAGTTAATAAATATAAAAAATTAATTTACAGTTAATGAAATTAAAGGATTAGCATAGAATTGAAATGGTCGAAAGTATAAATAGAAACAAAAAAAGTTCCACTTTGAAAAAATTATTTTGACAATAAATGACTAAAATCAAATGATGATTGATATAAAGCTATACATCTCTGCATATCAAGTAGTGTCCTGTACAAATACGACTTTTTGCACCCGGCAGATATTTTCACAGTCATAATACAGTTTTACAAACTTTTACTTTATATGAAGAAGTATACTGTTTAGTTTCTTCCATAAACATCAACACACTAAAAGAGATCATCTCAAATCCCACAAAAAGACAAGTAATAGAGGATTCACTTGGTGTCTCTCTCCTGCTTAAAACTCGATGAATTTTGCTAAGTATAAGCTTGCTTGTTGCTGATGACGCTGGAATGAAACACAGTACTGCTATTAAATATCATAATTGTGAATATATACATGAATGCTTTTTTCATTGCGATAACACATATTCACTTTTTTTCAATAGTTCATGTTTCTTTCCCATGATTTAACTATATCGTTAAAAGGTTACCGATCATCAGTAGATGAACTTTCCTTAAAAACGAATTCTCTTAGTAAAACAATATCACTGTTCACGTCTGTGACTTGTTCTCAATTACAATAAATTGTTCGATCATGATCGAACTTGTTTTCATTCGTATGCTTTTATGTATATAATAGTTTGAAAAAGTAAAAATATTTTAAAACATCGAAATCTCATATTGTCGGGTATAATTTCAAATTCGGACACGAGTCAACAGTTTTTTTTTCATATCCGGTACCCGATCCGAAAGCAGAACACTAGTACCAAGTACAAACAACGGCCTAAAAACAAGACAAGAATTTAAGATAATAGAAAGTTTAAAAAAGATTATGTTTTTGCTCAAGCTTCGCTAATGATCAGTAATGGATATGATTTGTATTCCAAATAATTATACACCTATTCATTATTTGCTACAATCGATTACACAAGTCGATTTAAATATTTATGAAAATAAAAAAATTAAATTTCTTTTTTTTTTTTAATTCAAAAAAATAAAAATAAATAATTTGATATTTAGTGTATGCAAATGAGAAATGATTCTCACTCGAAAACATCCATATGCAACTGTTCCACTTTTCTTTTTAAAATCTACATATGCAAATACATTGTCGGTATCGCTATTCGTTTAAAATATTCTGTAATTTTTGTTTTTTTTTATTTATCGAAATTTATTTTTTATATACGAATTTATATTTCATACTAATAAAATTTGTTCTTTTTTACTGCTAATTCTGTCTAATGAGTTTTGCTGACTATTTCATTTTTTTTACTGACTAAATATGATATACTTGTTCTATTATATAAAATAAAGAAGTTGTACGATGGTTATAGGATATAGTGCTGAATTCTTATTTTAACCTTTCGATTGATCTAATATGATTTTGTTTTTCTATAGGTATCTTGCTAAAACATTTTCTCAAGTAAATCAATATATAAAACCAGATTGAATTCTTTTTTTTTTTTTTTTTTGGATGATATATTTGATGAAGGTTTATCAGCATCAAATGACGAATTTAAATGATATTTTGATCGTTTTGATTCAATATTCCAATATGAAAATCGTGAACAAAAATATATTGTTATTCCGGATGATAATGATATTGATGGAGAATATTATAGTGATAAACAACCAATATTAAGACAACGTTTTCGAAATTATTTTGGTCGAACTATTACTTTATATCGTCAAAATGATATTGAATATCTTAAAGTATATCATTTTAAAAAAAGTCATACTGTTTTTTTTTCTTAAAGTTGTGATGCTTTATTCTTGTTTAATTTCAGTTAGATATTGATATGCTCGAATCGTATGTTGATGACAAGCGTGTAGCAATAATGAAACAAACACAAAATCGTCCATTATCATCAATTTTCCGTATTGTACTTAATCATTGGCCTTCGTTAACACATCCTACTCGTTTTGTTAAACGAGTTATAAATGAATTAGAATCAAATCTTATTCTCAAAGGTGATAGTCATCACGTATGTAAATTGATTTGACAATAAATCAAAAAGAATATATATATACATGTCTAGTTTTATATATTTGCATATGATCGAATTAATATGACAAATCGTATCATAGCACGAGAATATTTACCACAATCGATTATTTCAATAGATCTTGATCAAAAACGTTTTATTTATGAAATATCAATATCAGGATGTTCATATCGAATGGGTGTTAATAAAATTGGATATATTGTTCTTTTACTTGATAGTGGTAAGATATAATGAAATAAATAATAAGAATTAAATATTGTTCTTTCAAATATTTATTTAGCTACTAAAATGGCTCATTTAGCTATTTTTCCAACACCAAGACGATATATATCATTATATCTTTATGCAGCGTATTGGGATCTGTTATTTGATTAGTGTAATTTTAATTTTATTATTTTCGAGACAATCTTTCTCGAAATGGCTGACTTTAAATCGATGATTAATTGTTTGAACAAAGAAAAAGAATGAATCTTATTCAGAAAGAAAATTTTCTCTTTTGTTAGTGAAAATTATGAATGTTTAATTTCGTGTAATTTTTTTTTTTTCTACAATGATTACATTATAAAAAAAAATATATATATAGACAATTTTCTTTTTTGGAATTATCAAATTATCAATAGAGTTTTTGCTTTATCAAAAATAGGATTTATAACACATTTCCAAAGGCCAAACTCATAATGGGATCTTATTGTATATAAAAACATTTATTTACAGATTTTGACAAGAATGAAGTAGATAGCTTTTTGAATTTTCAAATGGTTGATCAGCTGAAAAACAAAAATTACTAATAATTTTCTTGAGTGGATGTGAGTGCGAATGGAGAGAGGTATCACATTCACACGTACATCCTGTTATGAATATTTTCGGATGACAATCGAAAATCGTGATTAGTACTCACAAATGGTCAAAATTATACTGTAGTATTTTCATACGTTTTTCGTGTCTACTTGAGCGGCTCCCCAGTGACATTTTTCTTTGAAACTTTGCTCCTTATAAATGCTTTTCTACGTCCAATTCAATAATTTCTGAGCAAAGAAATCCATTTTCAAGCAATAAAGTCATATGTTCACCTCCAATAAGAAAATTGCACACTGTTCAGGCCAGACTGATAGAGCCCTGCCGATTAAAGTATTTTGACAACCTGTAACCTGCTCTGCTGAGATTTTGGTAACCTGTAACCTATCCTGTCCTGTGAATTTTTTTCTTACCCTGCCCT